GGACTTGGCACAGCAGGTGGCTCTGCCTTCACAGGTTCCCGTGTTCTCCATGAGAGAGGACGGACTTGGCACAGCAGGTGGCTCTGCACCCCAGCGAGTGCCGCAGGTGCTCCTGAAGTAGCAGCCACCGAGGCCTCTGAGGACCCCGGCCGGCAGTCTTCCCATCCTGGCCACCCGTGTTTGTGATCCCCTGCCTCACAGTCGCCCTTTGAGCTTGGTCCATCAGGGGCTGCCCGCTGGGTGGACTCTGGGTCTTCAGGTGTGGAAGTTGGGCTTCCTCCTCCTCCGTCTGGCCCTCCGGCAGCCCTGCCGTGGCCTGCATGTGCATTTCTTGGGTGGCGTTCCTGTTAGTCAGCTTTCCATCGCCATGGCCAGAAGTCCTGACCAGAGCCATCGGAGGAACAAGTCTGTCTGGGGCGCACAGTTTCTGAGGTCCAGTCCGTGGTTGGCCGGCTTCACTGCCGCCCTGTTGTGGGCCTGAGCATCGTGGTGGAAGGATGTGGTGGAGGAGAGCTGTAGCTCAGGAGGCAGAGAGCAGGAGAGAATCAGTGAGACCCCAAGGCCCCTCCAGGGATCCCTCCCAGCCAAGCCCCACCTGCAAGTGTCCCACCTCGGAGCCTGCTGCTCTGTCACACACACGCACATGCACACACGCACGCATGCACGCACACAGGAGAAAGGCAGGTGGGCTGGGAGGTGGTTGGTGCTGGGGAGACCTCGGGTCCCTGGGCTTGCTCGGCTGTGGTCGGAAACCCCAACCTCCCTGACTTCCGAAAGATGCAGGGGAGGGTGGGGCATCGGTGCTGCGGAGGACCCAGGCAGAGCTTCGCGGAGAAGGTGGCTCCCCGGGGGCCTCCAGCCAGCCTCAGCCCTGCTGCTGCCCGCGCCCATCGGTGGGATCCGAGCGCAGGACGGGTTGGTTCCAGGGTGTGGGCAGTGTGGAGAGGGTCAGTGCTTGAGGGAGCAGCGAGTTTCTGGTTTGTCGTCCTACAGGACTCGTAAGCACCTTCTCATCTCTTCAACTAGATCCAAACCCTCGAGGGTCCGACCTGGTTTCTGCTGGGCAGAGTGGCACCTGTGATTCTAGTGACTCGGGAGGCTGAGGCAGGAGGATCGAAAGTTCAAGGCCAGCCTTGGCAACTTAGTGAGGCCCTTTCTCAAAAAATAGAAAGCACTGGACATTCGGCTCAGTGGTAGAGCCCCTGGTTCAATCCCAGCACCCAAATCCCAGTCTGCAGAATGTCCATTGGGGGGACATGCCATGAAACCAGTCAGGGTCACAGTAAGTGAATTTGGGCTGACTAAAAGACACAGACACAGAAAGTACCTTTTTCTTTTGGTTCAGTGACCCCTCCTCACTCATGGCTTCCACTTGGGGGGTCAAGGCAGGCAAGAAAGAGGAGCTCGCCTCGAACGTGGGTTTTATTAATGGGGGGAGCTAATACATAGAACATTATATCCAAGAAAGGGCAAAGGGTGGGATCACAGCAAACAGAGGGGTGTCATTAAACGCCATCGGGCGACCCCCGCTCCCTGAGCTGCACCTTTCTTACCCGAGGGCAGGTGACGTCCAGTGGCTTTGCAGGTGCAATACCGGTTCAGTACCCCTTTGCTCAGGACTTACAGGTGTGCATGTGGCTCCTGACGGTACGTAGGTTCTACAGATAGTCTGCCTTTTATTTAGGGACTTGAGCCGGTGAGTTGGTGTGTGGTGGAGGACCTGTGGCCCACCTGCAAGGGCCCTGCCTGTGTGTGTGACCCTGGGTCCATTGTGTATGGGGTCAGAGTGGCCAGGTGTGGCCTCAGAGCTGCTTCCCCGAAGGTCAGCCCCAGTGGGTGCCAGAGTTCGGTGGCTGTCACTAGGACGCATGTGACTTGCAGGTGCTTTCTTCCAGGTGTGGAAGATATCCCTACAAGGACCGTGCTACATGACCCTGCTGATGACGGCCTTCGGCCTGCTGTGGGGACACCTCCTGCAGATCAAACCCACTCAGAGCGTCTTCATTGCCACCTGCCTGTCCTTGTCTAGCACTCCCCTGGTGTCCAGGTTCCTTGCAGGCAGTGCCCGGAGTGATAAAGAAGGTAGGTGAGGGGCTCCGGTAGTTGGCGCTCGTGTGGATGTGGATCTCGGGCTCACTGTGAGCCTCCTCTTCCTAAGGGCTGTCTGGGCAGCGCATGCTCAGGCTCCTGTTCTGCCCAGGGCTGGCGTGGGTCTTCCCCCTGGCCTGGGAACCGTGCCCTCCTGTGCTTGCAGGTTAGGTAGCCTAAGGGCCTGAGAGAAGCCACCGTCTCCTGCAGAACGTCCTGGGGTCCATGGCCAACGAGGTCAGGGTCGGCCGCTTCAGCTATGAAGTGTCCTGGGCATGGATTTGGGTTTGACACTCGTCAGCAAACCTGGGGGCTTTGGTGGTGAGGGGCTTTGAGTTCCCAGGTGGTTGGGTTTCATCTGTGCATGTGGAGTGCTGGCATCGGAGCTCCCAGGGCCCCCCACATGCTCTGTCTGCGTCCTCTTCCCCTCGGCTGCTCGCCCATGAAGTGAACGGGGACTGCTTTGCTCCTGCGTTAAGTCAGTGAGCATAAGGCCAGAGTGTCTTGGTAAATGAACCCAGAGCCTGAGCACAGGAGCAGAAGGGAACGTGAACTGGGAACTTCCGGGGCGGGGCTGGGGCGCAGCGGTAGAGCACTGGCCTTGCCCGTCTGAGGTCCTGGGCTCGATTCTCAGCACCACATATAAACAAACCCATAAAGTCAAGGTCTGCCAGGAACTAGAAAAAGTAAAAAAAAAAGAGAACTGCAGAGGCGTGCTGACCCCTGCGGAGACCACGGCTGCTCTGTGCTGGGCCTGGGCACCCCCAGCCGGCTCTCCTTGAGGCCTGCAGGGGGTTCCTACTGCTGAAAGTGTGCATTGACTTCTGCCAGATGCCCTGACCTCGGGCCACGGGGCAGCCCCTCCATGGGGACTGGACCAGCTGCCCCTGCTGGAGGGGCTGCATCTCTGATGGCCCTGTGGGCCAGTTCTTAGGACAGCCCTGTGATGGTCTGGATATGTGGTAGCCCCCCCCAAACTGGTGTTGACCACGTGGGAATGTTCAGAGGTGGACCCAGCAGAGCGCGTCACCCGTGAGCAGCTGATGGTGGGAAGGGACCAGGACCTGGCCGCAGGCAGGTGGGCGTGGCTGCAGAGCGGAGGTCAGGGGTGTGCCCTTGGAAGATGGTGCAGCCTGTCCCTGGCACGCACACGTGCCTGCACACACACACACACCCGGCTCCCGTGAGCCGAGCAGGGCCGCAGCCAGTCCTTCCGCGCCATGGTCTTCTGCCTCTGCTCAGACCTTGGCACCTGTGGGCGAGGCGCCAGCTGATCGTGGACTGAGATCTCTGAAACTCTGGGACACATAAACGTCCGCTCCAGGTGGTTTTGTGAGATATTTTCCTCACATTTACAATAAAAAACCGTGACACCCCCTCCATGACAGGGGAGCAGGGCCGAGGGGCTGGGGCGAGGGCGATGGCAGAGACCAGGGCCGGGCACCCAGTGTGCACCCAGCTCCTGAGGGGAGAGCCTGTGGCTGGGGGACGCAGGGTGAGGACTCGGGGTCGCAGCATGCCCGACCTCACCCACGGGAGACTCCGGGGCTGGACCCAGTGGCCACAGTGTGACCGTCGTCCACCACACAGCCTGGTGAAGGCAAGGACAGACGGGCTTGTGACACTGGAAACGCGAGATCGGAGGCAGCGCGGGAGACGGTGGGGAGGTCGGTGCCCACAGACTGGCGGCAGCTCCCGTCTGCACGGCAGGAAGGCTGCAGCGTGGCAGCGACTCAGAGCACGTCCCCAAACAACAGGAAAGTGAGCTCGCCGTGAGAACGGCAGAGCTGCGGCTGCCCAGGGCAGCCGGCCCCTGTCAGCCAGGCAGGTGTGTGGAGGCCAGCACGCGCCAGGTCCCTCTCCAGACACTGTGGCAGACGACGGTGGAAATACCTCCGTGTGCTGGGAAGGGTCAGTCACGGGAGCCAGCAGAGAGGCCGCTGGAGCCTGGGCATGCAGGGGTGTCTGGAAAGGCAGCCTCAAGTGTCAGCTGCCCTCGGTCCTGCAGCGCAGACGGTGTGGGACGGCTCCCAGGGCGGAGTGGAGGGCTTCCTCCGTGGCCACATGAACTCTTAGGAAGGAAGTCTTTTGTTCCGCTTTGTTTTTTGGTACCAGGGGTTGGACCCACATCACCAGCCCTCTTTATTTTCCACTTTGAGACAGGGTCTTCCCAATTACTAAGTCACTTAGCTCAGAGCGTTGCCAAGTTGCTGAGACTGGCCTTGAACTTGTGGTCTCCCTGGCTAGCCCCTGAGTTGCTGGGATCGGAGGCCACCACACCCAGCCCAGGAGTTTGTTTTGTGTTTGGGGGTTTTTCTTAGAGCCACAGTAAAACCACGGACAGGAAGGTGGTCAGAGGGGCCGCTCTGTGGGTGCGTGTGCAGAGGAGGGGGGTGGACGTGCTGAAGGACTGGATTTGGACAGGAAGGTGTGACGGAGGTGTCCCTGTGGCACGGTGAGGTGGGAGGGTGTGATGGAGCCGGCTGGCCCCTGAGGCGTCCACGAGGACACCTGGGCATGCCTGGGACTTGCTCTCCGGACTCGCTCTCACTGGGGCGCTGGACCTCCACTCAGAAGCCTTTGCCAGCTGAGGGATGTGTACATACACCACAGGGGCTTTGGCCACCCCTCCTGGGGCCCACGCGGGCTTGGCACCCTGTAGGAGACGCTTGCCGAGTTTCCTAGCGGTCACCTTTCTGTCTGGATGTGCAGAAGTCCTGGATGCGTTCAATCCTTTATCATTGTAGAGAGACCCAGCCTGTGGCTGCAGTGCCTTCTGACGGAGGTCGCAGAGCCTGCTGGTCCACGCACATCGCGTCTTCTCTGTGGATCTGTTTTATGTTTTAACAAATTCCTCTCCGCCACATTTCCTCCTGACAGACGGGACCTTCTGCTCTTCAGTGCAGGTGCTTGATACATAACGTGGGGGTTAATCCAGGGGGGGACACTCTTCTCCACACGAGGACTCTCGTTCCTCTCATTCACCCGCCGCCTCTTGCTTCTCATCCGTCTCTGTGCAGAGGCTGGGACCCCTGCAGGTGCTCCTCACGCAGGCTGATCTGGCCTTCTGCTCTTTGAGTATGTGATGGGGTCGGTTCCATGAAAAACGCTGCCGACTTGAACTGTGAGTCTGAGAACCGCCTTTGTGTGGTGAGCCTTCGCATCACAGGCAGGGACTGGCTGCCAAGCCTCCGACGACACTGGGACTTTCCCGGGTAGGCGACCCAGATCAGAGAGGTCCATCTGTACGTTTCCTGAGCTTTCTGCTGCTACCGCAAGTCGAGGCTTCTTTCCTAAAACTACCTTTGCCAACAGCCCTCCCTGCAGGGCTCCTCCGAGCACCTCCGACCACCTTCCTGTCCAAATCCAGTCCTTCAGCACGTCCACCCCCCTCCTCTCCACACGCACCCACAGAGCAGCCCCTCCGACCACCTTCCTGTCCGTGGTTTTACTGTGGCTCTAAGGAAAACCCCCAAACACAAAACAAACTCCTAGCTGGGTGTGGAGACCCGGTTTGGAACAGAAAACTGCTTTCCTAAGTACGTTTCCTGGGAGACTCTCAGGGTACACGGGGATGGCCAAGGAAGTGTCCTCTGTGGGAGCAAGAGAGTGAGAGTGGGCTGGGCACTGGGTGCTGCCCCAGGCAGTCCAGTGGCTTCCTGTCCTTGGAAGGTTGCAGAAGGGGTGAGGCCTCCAGCAGCAGGTGCGGGCGGAGCCCAGCCTTGGGCACTGGGCCCTTGTGAAGCCTGGGCCATGCTCAGCACACCCCGGAAGCCCGCGCAGGTGTCTGGGTTCAGTGGCTCTTAGGGAGGTGGCCTGTGGCCCTGGTGTTGCTGGTGCCCAGGAGTGGACAGTGCCTGCTGCTCATCACGCAGTGCTAGGTGTATCTTCCTTTCTAGTGTGTCACAGTGAAGGCACCCACTGCAGGTGGGCAACGAGCAGCGTGCAATGGCCTTGTCACCTGTGTCAGGACCAGGGCAAGCCCACCTGTGGGCATCCCGCCAGGGGAGGGAGGCCTGGAGTTCATGTGGCAGGCTCCTGGCCAGACGGGGTCTGTGCAGCCCTCAGGCTGGAGGGGGGGCGCGGGCGTCCTGTGTGTCCAGGACACAGACACAGGTCTGCATGGCCCTCAGGCAGGGGAGGGCACGGGTATCCAGTGTGTCCAGGACACAGACACAGGTCTGCATGGCCCTCAGGCCGGGGAGGGCCCTGGTGTCCAGTGTGTCCAGGACACAGACACAGGTCTGCATGGCCCTCAGGTTGGGGAGGGCCCTGGTGTCCAGTGTGTCCAGGACACAGACACAGGTCTGCATGGCCCTCAGGCAGGGGAGGGCACAGGTGTCCTGTGTGTCCAGGACACAGACACAGGTCTGCGTGGCCCTCAGGCCGGGGAGGGCCCTGGTGTCCAGTGTGTCCAGGACACAGACACAGGTCT